TCCTCCCAAAAACACTCAGATTAAGAAATGTAAAGTACTTTAGGCTCTTAATGGGTCGATGCATTTTCATTAAAATCTCATTAGGCTTCTGTGTACTTTTATGTGAAAAGTTGCCTTGTACTAAATCGGGCAGCATTATGTAGCAGTTGATGTAGCGTTTAAGATATAGCATGCTATTTGAGTCCTTCCCTACGCATTCCTAGCTGTGGCTCACAGTGTAAACATTTCAAAATGTTTACTAAATGTGCGTTTTAAAAGTCCACGAGTGCATGCTGCTATATTCCATAAATGGCTCTTCATGTGGCTAGGTCTACATGATACGTAAAACAAGGATATGTACTGTAAACATTCATAAATGATGCATGGAGCATTACGGGATTAGACTCATTGATCTTCAGTGTTGATGTATGCTTTGCCCTTTAGAAACAAGGAAGGACCTTGAGAGCAGAGTATGTAGGTCATCTGTAAATTCCGTCTTTCACCGCAATTCAAAATAGATCCCAGAACTGGAATCTGAATTGATAGCAAGAGAATTTTACTAATTCATGAATTGAATTTATTAGGAAAATAAATTCTAAATAACATGGGAGTTTCATTAAATTGTGAAAGGTATCACCCCTTATTAAACCCCATGTAAACTGCATTCTCATGAAAATTCTGTTATTTTCTTTATTCAAGTTCCATTGAATTTCCCAAATCTCTTTCCATTTCCCGAAATTCTAATTTGAATTGACATCTGACCTGTTATTTGTCAGCCAATCAGACGCAGAATCAGGCACGGCCCAGCATAAAGTCGTCCTGTGGCTTGGTCACTGCTGGTCCCACCCATCACAGTCGTCACACTCTTCAAACTCAAACACTGCAAATGTTTGCCGCCCAGCAGCATGCCGCAATTTAGATTGTCTGTTGGCCTACGGACATAACAACAATTCCTGCTGGCTATTCTATTACTGTAGAACCCATTTATAATGTTCATGGTTATAGTGAACAACCGCTTATATGGATCAAACAGCTTGGGACGGAATCATTCCTATACAAATACTGTTTAAATAATTTGCTTATAGTAATCAAGCAGTCTGCTTACAGTGTTCATTTTGGGTCTTTTTATACATAAGATACGGAAAAAATTAAAACTATTCTGATTCTTCTTTTTTTTTTTTTTTTACTTTACTTTACTTGGAGCTTATGTCGCTATGCTATGTGGTTCTGGCTAGCTTCTTATCCGTGAATCGGAAGAGAAGACATTTATACCACATGCTGCTTTGATCATTTTCTTTGGTGTTTTCTTCCCGTTCTACATTTTCTCCTCATTCATGTTTGTGTTTCCCCCAAAAACATTTAGAGATGAGCTTTGTCAGGGTAGCATCGGTTATACAGACGAGAGCGGAATTATTTACCCCCCTTATAAAATTTGAAGCTCTTGTCAAAATTCCACCAAGTGCTTTTTTAACAGAGCAAGGGTTTTTCAGCATAGCATTTCTAAACATACTAGTTTTCTTTAGCGTAAAGCATAAAGTATTTCTATTTGCACACAATAACAGAATAATTTCAGAAAAAAAGAAAATGACCAGGGTCAATATTATTAGCACCCTGAAAAACTGACCTTTTCATCGAGCCATAGCACAAACCACTGTTGTGCCATGATTTGCTTTAACTTTATAATGCTCAAAGCTCGTAAAGTCAAGTTACACCTGAGGGTTATCTTGCAATGAACACTTTTAAGCAGCAAAGGTCTGAGCTTTCACTTGGGAATAATCATTTTGACCATGGTAATTTTTGTTTTTTGTGAAATTATTTAATTCTACCCTCATCTGTAGGTGCTTGAGAATACGATCTTTCATAATAGCACACCACAGTGTCTGTGCCTGTCTGTTTTGAAAAGAACATATAGCTTATTACAAAACCAAATTAAAGCATCTTCCGTTGAATATTTTGGAAAGTTTTTGTTGACTTTCACCCATCACCACGTAGCACTATTAAACCTCTGGTGTAAACTGATTGCAAATACGATTCGGCTATTCTTTCATGGGGCATAATGAGAAAAAAACTTTATATTTGGCTCTCTACCATTGAATACAATTTGCAAAAGCAAAAGACAGCAGTAATACAGCTGTAATTTTAAACGGCTTTTAAATTCTTAAATCTTTGGAAACCTTTTTAGGATTTTAAATGAAAAGTGTAGATGTTACATTTCCAGGACTAGTCTGTCACTAGAAGAACATTTTCATGATTCAAGAGAAAGAAACTGACTAAAATAAGACATTTTCCATCTTCTCTAATGGAAAGATGTAACAATTATGGTACAAAGGCGGCAGATTTAACCATTGTCAGAATCTGCCCATATTGACCATAATTATCATTAAGGGAGGGTAAATACCTAACATATTCTACACTAACACCAGAGTATTCAACACCCTGCCATCATTCATTATGCAAATGTTCTTAAAAGCCTATAGTTTTTAAGATTTACTTTTTTCTCGTTAATAATTTTCCAAATGCATGCTTTGCATAGTGTATTTGCAAAGTGAATCATTTTAATGTGTTACACATTTTTTTCCCCAGCTACAATTTTTTTCTCTTATTGTTGTTGATGTATTTTACTTACCGAATCCCTGGGCTTCTATTCAATTAAGGGTATCAACCACGGCAAATCAAAGTTCTGACCTGGGCATTAATCATTGTTGCTGGAACTGTGTTGAAGGCAGATACCCCTTGAGATTAGACCAAGGGCCTGAGGACAAATATGAATGAAAAATCATTAGCTCCTAGGTAATAAATTGGGTGCTGCTTTGGATCAGTGCCAAGTGATCCTCTGTACAGTTTGGATTCTACTCTTCCCTATCCCCTTCCCTATGTACTCTTCTGCTGATGTAGCCTATTAGCTAAATTTAATGACTATGATAGCCACACGTCCGGACCAGACCAGATTCCGAATCTAGGCAGGTTCTAATCGAATAAGTTTGGTAACTGAATACTCTGAAAGCAGACAATGCAGTATGCTGTACATTGAAGTCACAGAACTGTCGAATGAGATAACATCACTTGTGGAAGATAGACATACAAGTGAAATCATATTATCTTTCAAACCGAAATGTCAATCTAAGTTACTTAAAACATTTGTGAAGCGATGATAAAACTAGAATTTACACTTGAATTTTATCACTTGCCCTACAAATTATTTTCAGAGAATAATGAAAGCTATATCCAATTGTTAATTCAAATACAAATGCCAAATTAACTGCAACACCCATTCATCTTGTATTCCAAGGTAATACAAAAATGTTCACATTTTAACATTTAGCTGAATGGTCGTGTCAAGGCACACATTAATTCTAAAGTGTTTGTCTTATTTTAACGGACCAGGAACCTGCTTCTCGGTGATGAATTGTCCCTGGTCTGCACTCCCGAGTGATATGCAGAGGTGGAAAGTTCAGGTCCAGAAAGTACAAATCCAGACCAAGATCTTGTTCAAGCCAGCCACTTGAGTACTTTGTGAACGTGACTCTTTATACTCGACTGTCTGGTTGAAACAAAATCTTGGTCTGGATCTGTGCTTTCTGAATCTGAACTTTCCATCCTTGTCAATGTGTCACGAATGGATGTGGCACATGGAATATTCTAGAACGTTTTGAAGAGACACCACATTAACAGTTTTTCCAAACTGCAGGTCAAAGTACAGCACTAATCTTTGCTTTTTTTTAAATTTCCTTTTATTCTGTTCCTGCAGTACGAACTAGCACCTTTTGTATGGACAGATGAAGTCATGTCCCAGTTCCAGCTTCATCTTCACTTTACTTTTTCATCTATTCATGAAATTGCATGTGTTACTTACCGATGACTAATGAGTAAGAGCCGTCTGTCCGCCATTAGGTCGTAAAGAGAATCGTATCTGGCACCTTCCTCAGGGGCAAGTTATGAAAGGCGGGGGGAAAAAATACTATTGGCATCCGGAGGAACAAAATAATGAGGATTATTTCACAAAGAGGTCCAGCGTGGTTCCTAATTCGGGCACCCCTGGTTTTGCCAGTGGTTGGTTGACACTACTGTGCTACTTTTCATAGCTAGGCATTCATTATGTTTGGGATTTCATGCCTCCAGGAGCAGAACGAATTGAGTTAGACTTTCATTTGGCTTGAAGTATAGACTGGTCCTCATTACCCATAAGGGGCATTATGAATCCACGTCCAATTCTGTAATGAAATCAAAGGACTGAGTAACAACACAACTGTTCTAATGAAGCACTCTCTAAAGTGCAGGATTTATTCACTGCTATTAACTAGTCGCTAAATACTCGTACTTAATGTTTGTGTACTCGGTTGGTGTTGATATGCCAGGCGACTGCAAGAAAAGTTACACTGTTCTTGTAATTATAACACGGACTTTATTTAAACACTGTTCTCATTTTTGGCTGCTAATATTTCCTTGGGCTAGCAGGATATGTGTTGCAAAAAATACTTAATACTTAAGAAAAGTATTTTCAAGACGCAGATTGGATTAATTTCATGAGTATATTAATAGTCGGTTTCATAAGAAGTTCATTTTGAAATACTGTGTACTTAATAGAGGATATGTGAATCTCTGTGGGATTATGTAATTTGGCAAATAGATAAACCTTTGTCCTGTATTCCTACAAAATTTCCTACTTTTAACTTAAAATGCTGTTAGAGTTTAATTACACATAATCTCCAATGGATATTAAATAAAATTCATTCATGATTCCACTTGTTAAAATGCTCCTTACCATATTTCTTGAGTCTCCTGTGTAGATTTAGTTGCCTTTTGTTCTCCTTTCCGTATAAAAATGTGCTTAAATTTTATATAGTCTCTTGAATATTGCATAAAGTAACTTGTCCTAAATGAGGTACTGTGAATATCTGCAGATGAAAAATTAAATTTTCATTTCTTTTGTGGGCTGGATTATTGGATGGTTGTTGTTGCTGCCCTTGCTTTCGCTGTACCGATGACATCATTACTTTATCGTTTGCTGTCGTTTTGCAGAGGTTCTTCAGCTCAGTCTGCCCGACGACCAGAAAGTTAGTGTCACCACAGCAACCGTGGGCCAGAGCGTGGTGCTAACTTGCTCTATTGTTGGAATGCCAAGACCTCGTATTGTCTGGAAACGCAACAACCGCATCTTAAATACGCTGGACCTGGAGGATATGAATGTGAGTAACCCAGGGCGAATTGTGGCGGGCCAAGCTTAATCGCATCAACGTTCCATGGTCTTAATGACCTCAATCACTTTATCAAGGAATGTAATTAGTGGGAAGTCAAATATGCCTATTTAAATAAATTTGTGAATTTGTAGCCTCTGTATGTTCTGTAGACAGGCAAAGGAGATTTATTGTAGTCAATTCAAATAAAAGACACATAGTAGCCAACAACAAACCAATAAAATAAAAACCTTGTTCTTTTACGTGTTTTTTTTAACGTATTGTCCATTTGTCAGGGCACTTAAGGGATGGATAAATGAGATGTGATTTTTAATTTTCATTGAGTACTAATGATGCCAGTAAATCAATGGCCACATTATTCTTAAGTCCTGCGCTTCTGCACATCTACCAAGCAGCTCCTAATTAGAAGAGTCAGTCAGTCATTATACCAAAATGGCTCCTGGTGTTTGCATAATGCTACCGTGGAAATTGTTTTTAAAAATAACGGTCCATCTTCGAATGCTTTTATTGTGCGTGTTAAGCTTCCATGAATCGACACAGAGCCTGCAGCCATGACGAAGGGCACATACGTTAAGGGTGAAGTTATACCTCATTTCCACTGCATTCATTACGAGAGCACCCGTTTATTAAACGCACAGCACGTATGACCTACGATGTGACCTGACGCTGTTGACTAGGACGGACGAAAGAGTGCATCAGACCACAGAATTCCAGAATACTTGTGCATTTCTAGTAATTTACTATCCGTTTTCAGTAATGAGTGAAATAGCCATTCCTATGTGCATCCACTGCAGACTAATCTGCAAACTCATACCCCTGGATTTATACCTCTTCATTTGTCATGCTAGCTTTTCCCTCCAACTAACGAATTTTTCTGTCTCGACGCACGTCGTTTCTGTCATCCCAACTTTATTATTTTAAACGGTTGCTACTGTCTTTTTTTATTTATTTCCCGCAGATTCCTCCAGAGGTAGGTCCATGATGTGTAGTCTGTCCTGATCACCCGTCGAGCATCAAAGGCTATAAAACTAATGAAGTACAATGCAAACCACGTAGGGGTTCGGGTGATGCTACGTAGCCTTCTGGGGGCTCAGTGCGGACGGCGGACGCGTTGTCGTACTTGGTGGTGTCTGTTAAGAGGTCATTTTTTGATAGGAACTGAGAAGTTAGAGCATTTAATAGAAACTGGCCTGGTTTAATCCTGTGAGAGACAGTGTTCCATAAGCTCCCCAGATCCTTTTATATGCTCCTCACAAATGTGCTAGTCAAGGGGTGGTGCAGAAGGCCTTCACATTCGCTGCCCCTGCCATGTAATGTGCGGTTTACCATGAATCTTTAATGCGGACGGTTAGGCCGTGGAGTCCAGTTCACCGGGCCGTGAGCTCCAGCAAACCCTCAAAGGTATCTGCAGCATGAGTTTTTCTTTTTGCTGAACGTTCGAGCTCTGGCAGGAGGGGGCGGGGCCACAGGCTCTAACTGAATGCTGATTGGCCCCTGGCGTGTCCTTTCTCCTGTCACTCACCGATTCAGAACACCTCATTGGCTAATGATAAGGGTGACCTCTCTGTATGAATTATGGCCACTCTTATGCTCCCCTCCACCTTAAAAAAAAAAAATCCTGGAATCGGCCCCGTCTAGCAGCCTCCCGTTGCTGTTGTTTGGTAGCAAACCCCAGAGTAGCCGATAAGCCTCTGTAAGCGGGAGTCTTTGAAAATGAAGACCCTTAACTATATCTTTGAACCAGAGGATTAAAAAAGAAAAAAACATGTGTGTCTCTGTGGATACTCCTCTTATTTGTCTGCCAGGCAGAGCAAGTATATAAACAGCATCATGTAGGATATTGTTTGCTACTGAAAAACAAGACCTTTTAATAAACCGTACTGCATTTTGACTTGGGACAAGTCTTCCTGAAATCATTAGTTTCATGGCTATCATCTCTGTCACATCGTGGCTTTGACGTTGATTTTAACAAGCTGATTTGTCGTTCTTTTTTGCCCTTTCAGCTTGCAACATTGCCTGCTGTCTGAATACTTTCAATTAACATTTCAAGCATTGCTCTTGCATATGTGCACATGCTGAATTTTCACATTTGTTTTGCATTCTTCACAATGTGGACTGTGGTATTTGTCACCAGATAGACGTGTACACTTTTGTGCAGCTTTTGTTCACAGGAAGTATGCCTATTATTGCAGAGATGCCGTTTTCTACAATCATGCTGCACTGACCTCTGTGACAGATCGTCTGGGGGGGAATATGCACAATTGCAGTTAGTTCAAGGAAGACACCAGTGTTTGATATGCAATTAGAACTCTAAAAATTCTAAATCTGAAGTCGCCCAAGGGGAGCTTTGAAGGGCTGTTTATGGCTAAGATTGTTCCAGAAGGACTTTTTAAAAAAAGACTATTCTCATGGTAAAAATCTGACTTAAAGTATAATCACAGTCTTTTGAGGTCAGCCTTTATCATAAAACAATGTTTGTGATTATAATCACAGCATGAGCAGAAATGTATTGTTCGGAGAAATTTCATTTAGATTTTTTTTGGGAAAAAAATAGCAGAACATGAGAGAGTGACAGTCATTGTAATAAACCAATAAAAGAATATTTACAACTCTAGGATGGTAATCTATAGAGTACAGTACTCTCGTACAGTAAGCGCTAAAATGCACATGACGCTACAAGAATAAACAACAGTGAAATGTGATCATGCATGAGGCATCTAATAGCCGTTCCTAGACTTGTACCTGTGTTCAAGAGATTTTACCAGAGACCATTAGAAGTAGAACTTTTCCTGGATAAATAAAAAGTTTTTTCTTTCTTTATACTTCAGATGGTGAGGGTAGAAATCAAAAACCCACGAGGAGGTGCTTTATAGTCCCACCTTTCAGAGGAAGTCATTTTTCATGGCGCAACGAGAAGGAAATTAAAATGGTTTCCACTGCAGTGAAGACTAATGGCTCTCTCTCCTGCTGGGATTGATGTGGATTTTTACTTACAATCTGCCTATAATAAAAACCATCTTCAAGCTCTCTTGCTGCAATAGTCATACTTCACCCACCGCTCGGCTGATTTGTAGCCTCATCTGAAATCAGAAAAACAGGGTGTGGCTTTTAATATTTTCATTTCGGCAATTAGAAAGTGTCCACCTCCTGTGTTCATAATCTGTTGTGTTATTCACTGACCATCTCTCTGCTGTTTTATATATATATATATATACACACACACACACACACACACAGATTTTTTTGTACGTTATTTAGCTGATTTTGCCGCTGTCATGAAGTGACATCATATTTCCCTGTCTAGGACTTCGGAGATGATGGATCTCTGTATATAACCAAAGTGACCACGATGCACATGGGCAACTACAGTTGCCATGCCGATGGCTACGAGCAGCTCTCACAGACACTTGTTCTCCAAGTAAATGGTAAGGAAAGCGACTTTAAGCTCCACGTCCAACATCCCGATACAGTCTAGTCATAAGCTGTGGGGAAACATTTGCTTGTACATAACTCGAATTTGTATCTGATTCTCAGTGGTTAGCTTACATCTGTGGCCCTTCCGATTAATTTGTGATTTTCTTATTCCATGTAAGTGTCCCGGCTTGTTTGTAAGTAATACCCAACACTTCTAATATTTACGGTTTATTTATTTAATAGCTGCTTTTATCCAAAGTTAAGTGATGTATAATTGAGAAAGTAGATTCAGCCAGTCCCTGGGGCAATTGGGGGTTAAGGGCCTTATTCAAGGGCCCAATGGTGACATCACTTCACCAGCCCTGGGGTGTGAACCGGCAACCTTCTGTCTTAAGCACCACATCCCAACTCACTGAGCCACACACCACCCCTAATAAACTTATGTCAGAGCTCTAGCCTATGCTAATTACACGAACGCCTCCATCCCTTTAAGAGTTGTTATGCGCATAGGTCCTCATTAAACAAAAGGCTATTTCTGGGCTCTGTTTTCCCTGAAAATGTCATTATGCTTACAGGCTACCTGATACTCTACTCCACATGCAATTTCTATCAGGCCTGTCCAGCAACCCCCCCTGTCTAAACCTCAGCATTAAATTATAACAAAAACACACAATTGTAGGCAAGCTTAATCCCAGTGGTTTGCTATGGAAAAATCTAAATTTAACTGGAGAGGGTAAATGCTGGGCTACTTCATTTGATTGCCCCTCTGGATATAATAATAATAATAATTGTAATAATAATAATGTAAAAATCTTTTTTACACACACTACAAGAAGCTCTTACAAATTTGAGTGCTATTGGCTCTCCAGTGAGAATCCAGTGGGTTTTCCAGCAGAGGATCATCTATCTTGGGATGGGGGGGATTTAGCCGGGTGCTACGTGGACAGGGAGTTCAGGCCGCAGGTGGTGGGAAAAGTTCTGGCTCCTATGACCCTCACGGAGCTGGATTTGGGTCTCGGTGAAGAGATTCCAGAAAGGACTCCCTAAGTGAGTTCTTACGGGGGGAGGCTTCTGAACCTGACTTAGTGGAAAAGAGGGCAAAGCAAATGCACATTTCCCAGTGGTTCCTGGGCAACATCAGCTTGTGTCGTTTGGTGTGGGGGTTTGGGCAGACTCCAGGAAAATGTTAAAAAGTCAGAGGTACCGCGTTCAGGCACCGCGCCAGAGTCTCCAGAGATCTACTGCTATTATCCTACCGCAGTGGCAGCGAGTTTTATCAATAAAATGCAGGTTCTAAGAAGAGAGCACATTTCAGAAATCCGCTTTTTAAAGTATATTCACAAAATACCCAAGAAATGATGAATAGAAAGGTGAATATCTGAACTATATAAGTATTTCGTTTTGCAGATTGCTTTGGAGGTCCGATATATATTCCTTTTAAAGTGCTATGAATGGTTTGTTTAATTCAATATATTATATTGGAAGCTGGAAAATACCTGTGGCTAGAACCAAGAGAACATTTCCTACCTCAGATGCATTGATCCTCTGTAACAAATAAAATAAGTTAAATAACTAAGTGGTTCTTCATTGTGAATTAGATTTATTTCAAATATGCATTGAATGACATCGGAATAGTTACAAGATAACAGCCTGAGTCATAGAAGTGTGCAGTTCACTTACAAACGGTATAAGTGTAAATGTCTTATTTTTTTGTGCGCGGCATTAAGATTTTAAACACTATGACTGCTTGTCTTTCTTTTTATGAGCTATATTCTGCCGTAATAAATATACATATAACTGATACAGTGCAGGAGCAGGAATACATTTTAATTGAGATTTGATTTAAGTGCACTGGGGGGGAATAAGCTCGCATTTTTATTATATATATTTATTTATTTATTTTCGCCCCGATCCGCGACAGACTTGGTAGCCGCATGCCGCAGACTCACGCAGGTTAAGCGCAGGAGTTGCGGCAGATGGCTGCGGTGTGGCCCTCTGCTCACCTGCCTACGCAGTTCGGGGGCAGCGTCTCTAGGGCTTCGCCGGCTTTGTATCCGTGCCAGGAAAAACATGTCCGGCCCGCGCTGATCTGCCATTTATAACGTGCCGCTCCGAGGGTGGCGGATTTTTATAGGGACTCTTCAGACGGCTGTTCGCCTGGAACTGGCCCAGTACGGCTAAAAGCCCCCCTTCGCAAAGGGATAACGCCTTACCTTAAGAAGAGTTCATTTTCTATGTTTTGTTTAATTACGTCCTCGTTCCATTAGCTTGATTTTATGTGCAGATGCCTATTTAACCAAACATTTTCCCCTGTACTAATAGAAACTTAATATTGGTTCCATATTCTTTTGCAAACACCTCTGCCGAGTGTAATTTAGATTATTTACTAAATGCTGCAGGCATACAGCAGCTATTTCCGAGGTAATTAGCACAATACTTCACCTTAACCGGTGCTGGCATTTGTAAAAAATTTCAGTGCACTGGGTCCTCTTATGTAATGTTATGTCGGGGCGTCCACCCCGTGCCTGTTTTTTTACCTTTTTTTCTTAACGTTCCCGTTTGCTTAAACCCATCCAGTTCCTCCAGTGATCCTGGTGCACCCGGAGAGCCAGGCCAGGGAGCCGGGTGTCACGGCCAGCCTGCGGTGCCACGCCGAGGGGATCCCCAAACCGCAGCTCTCCTGGCTGAAGAACGGCATGGACATAGCAACAAAGCTGTCCAAGCAGCTAACTCTGCAAGGTGTGAAGTGGCTTATTCACTTATCATGGGGAAAAAACACATGAAATGATGCTTTATTTAACATTTGCATAAGTACATCAGAATGCTTCTTTTTTCACATATCCCATCATGCTCTCCTTTGAGACATACACACATATACTGCTCTGGAAAAAATTAAGAGACCACAGCAACATTTTCAGTTTCACTCATTTCTCAGTTTCCGGGTATGTACCTGTGTAAAATATACTTCTTTTTTTTCCCCCAAACTTCAACCTGGCTCTTCCCTGTTTGTCATTAATGAAGGGCTTCTTCCTTGCTTTATGGGACTTCAGTTCTGCTTCCAGGAGCCAGATATGAACTGTCCTAGCAGTGCACTTCACACCTGCACTTAATGTTTCCCATTCCTTTGGAAGGTCACTTGAGGTCATCCTCTGATTCATGAGACATTGCCAGATAAGCTGACAGTCATCTCTGGCATTGGAAAGTCGCTTCTGCCCTCTACCTGGCTGGTTTTTGGTTTTTGCCAGTGTCTCCTGCTTCACCTTATTCTTATATACTGCTGTCTCAGAAACTTTGAGCCTGGAAGCAGCCTGCCGCACAGTGTAGCCTCTGCCAGCAGAACCAGGATTAAACCAGCATTTAACAATGCAGATTTTTTTTTTTTTTAATTTGGAGTCTCTTAATTTTTTCCAGAGCTGTATGCAGTTGGGAGGGAAGCTTTGGGTCTGAATGCATGGTAACGGCATTTATCTGGCACCCAAGAGCATCTCAGTGAGTTAAGGGCTTTTCCCAATAGGCATATGACTATTCTGCCTCAGACGGGACTCAAACCAACAACCATCTGATCACTGGCACAGAGGCCTAACCTGCTGATCCGTACACCAGCCCCATAAGGACTTTATTATTGTTATCATCACTATCATAAAGATACACACATGTTCTACACACCCTCTTAATAGACATGGCAATAAAACCAACCATCAGAGAGAAGTGCTGTAAAACAAGATTCAAATGAATGAGATGACTATTACATAGAAAACTAAGCAAAGCGTATAATTCAAACAGAAGCAGTGTGGGAAAATCTAAGAAAATAAAACACTTTAAAGAAAACCAAACAGTATAAACTAACTGTTCCAAGACCCCTGTGATCTAATCGCACCTTTCCCATGGGTGCATCTACCAGGCACGTTTCATCTGACCCTTTAAGTCCTAGCATAGAAAGCGTTATAGGGGTCAGTTCGCTTTATTTATTTGAGGCTTGTTTGCCCAATGTCGGTCTCATCTCTATAACCCCGGCGTGCGTTGTCTGCGTGGTCTTACATTATACACGTACAAGCACAGAATCTGCGGAACCAGCAATCGCAGAGTGCAGTTACGCCTGCCAAAGGATTTTTGCCCAGTAGAATTCCCTAAATCCCTGCAGTTTTAGTGTTACTCGGCTGCCATATCAAGAGTATGAGATGTATTTTTTTCCGGCTGACAAGCCTCGTCTCCAGGGTTTCCCTCCCCCTTTACTGTAAACATTTCACTCAGAGTTGTCTGAGACAATCTGGCGTACACTCTTAAGTCTCTCTAAAGATCTCACACGGCACAGAAAAAACAGAGAAGCCAGATAGTGATAATCTGCATAGGTATCGACGGCAGTTTGCTCCTGTCGCTGCGTGTCAGCCGACAACAGATGACAGACTTTGATCGCAGTTTTGGATGCAGAGGAACAAACATAACGCAGGTAATACAACCTGAGTACGTGGGCTGCATTTACCGCACCCTTTAAAAAAAAAAACCTACAGAGAACCTACGGTTTGCGATAAAATATCCAGCATCCACGTGCCTTCTTTGTTGCCCCACGCAGCGAACGGGAGCGAGGTGCACGTGAGCAACGTTCGCTACGAGGACACTGGAGCGTATACGTGCATCGCCCGCAACGAGGCCGGGGTGGACGAGGACATCTCCTCGCTGTTTGTGGAGGACTCGGGCAGGAAGACACGTACGTGCCTGCACGTGCAACCTCCGCAGGACTAGCATGCTGATCACGCTCTCTGCTGCGCAATGCGTTTGTTTAAACATTTAAACATAAGATTTATATCTGTGAGCAGGGTTTCCAACTCGCAAGAAATCTTACGGCAAATCTATATTATTCCATTATAAACTTAAAATTAGTTACATCAAAACCGTTGGAGTAGTGTGCAAACCCTACAGACGATTTACAAGGTAATAAAACTGTTACATACATGTAACTGCGTGTGCATGTGTGTGCAGACCTGCTTCAAATTGAATATATCTTGCTCCAGCCTGCTGACCAAAGTTGGCAACCCTGCGTGACATCAATAAATCATGTGCTAAAAAAAAGTTTAATTTCCAAAAAAAGGTCAGTTTTCACAAGTCAAAGCCATGACATTCCAAAGACGGTTTTAGTAAACAAGGTATTTCAAATTTCTTCACCCTAATAAATTGCTAATTTATTCAGACTATGTGCTGAGATGTACATTTACACGAATTCGTTCTCCCAAAAGTATAAATTAGCATTTATTTCTTTGTTTTTGTGTGTTTTTACGTCTCGAAAGTGGCCACCGTGTGTGCGTGACACAGCACTCTACGATTCCTGTGACTGGTCTTTAATGTTTATTAATGTTTAATTAAAAACTCGGCGCTAATGAATGACTGCATACAAACTTGCCCCTGCATACATTTCCTCTGTGAACATCACGGTTTTAATTTAGCCTAGAATGAATCCAAACTTCTTATTTAAATGAGTCTGATGTTTGTTTAGCTTGATTAACTCAGTTTATGGATACGAACGTCTCGCTGTTAAAGAAATGTACTCTTTTTCTATTATAAGAGACAATAATTAAGTCAGACCAGTCCATAATCAAATTTTCCGAGGTGACTGGCATTCGCCGCCGACGTTTGAGGTAATTGTAGGTCTTTAATGGTGCCGGAAAGTAGGCTATTTGCAAATGCCATTGCGGTGCTTATTTTCCCATTACAAACAAAATGATTGCCCTGACTGCTTCGTACATTATAGCAAATGATCTGTGAACACCGCCACACTTCATACATCACACTTGCGCTAAATCACTTCTTTGTTGACTCGCTGTCGTCACCTTCTAAAACAGTTTATTGCTTTCTTACATTTAAGGGTCCCTTCGTCGCGTGCCGTCTGAATAATGGATGCGCCGAATTAGACGCATTAATATTAACGCATGCCGGGCAGTCACTGTTAAACGACTCTCGGAGATTGCTCACGCAGGTGCATCGACTTGGAATAATCTGGCCTCTTGTTCAATTGAGTTTTTCCATTAAAAGTAAATATTGTGCAGAGTCTTTTTTTTTTTTTTTTTTTACATGTCCATGCTGCGTTTAAGGCAAAGCCCGTTCATGCAGGGCCAGGTGTCAAATGCCGTTCTAGAAAGGCCTACTTCATTGAAGAGTCAAGGAAATCAACTTGCGGTAGCAATGGGAAATATTATACATTAAGGTGATCAGATAATCCATGTCAGGGATGACACTTTGAGCTACTTCAGGTTTTACAAACTACTTTCCAACTGAAAGGCTCCTGTGTTTGGCTAAACAGTTCAGCTCTTCTTGTGCTTTGATTGCTTTGTTTCCTTGACTGAAAGACTCATCCAGCTGTTTCTCATTAACATTAGTGACACAGGCATGATTATAGGAGACTGACCAATCAGCACACAGCTTAAGCGAAATCCAGGTCCTTTTAATGGAAATGGTAGCTTGCAAATTCTGTCTCAGTGCAAAGTGTCCTCCCTGACATGGATTATCAGGTCACCCTATTGTACACCCCACAGCTGATCTCAGTATGTGACCCCTCCCCCCAAAACAAACAAATAAATAAAGGAAGGAGTTGATAACATAACCTTATGACAAGCCAATTTAAGTTTAATCCAGATAGTCCTGTCTTCTACATATTGAATGGTTTGTATGGGTGTAAATCTTCCATCCATCCATCCATCTTCTATCGTTATTTATCTGGTATAAGGTGAAAGTGAGCCAGATAGCCCATGGTATGAGGTAGAGGACTCCTTTGATGGGCTGTCAGTCAGCTGCTGGACATACAGACGCATAGACACACACACACACACTTCAAAGATGCCGGTTCAGACACCAGAGGACACCCACATGAACACAGGGAGAATATTAGCCAGAGAGATTAGCCAGAGCTGTAATTTAGCCCTGCCCTGGAGGTGTGAGGTGACCATGCCAAGCACTGAGCCACCATGCTGTCCTGCATCTAATCTGCGTCAATAAATTCGGTCTAATACAGCCCATATCACCACAATTATGTGCAATTTCCAGAGCAAGTAAAACAAACAAAACAAAACAGAAAAGCCGGGATGTGAATAGGCAATCATGTCCCCTCGGCTGGATAATATCACAGATAATTATAGCTTGATGTAAATATACTGTGGTGCGACGTTCAAGCTCTCGGAGGCAGCCTGGGGAAGTATCGTGGCCTTTAGACAAGGTGAGAGGCGTCCTGAGGAAGCGGGGCGGAGCATCCCGATTCTCACGTCTTTCAGAACTTCTCCAATCTGCGGAGAATCCTCCCTTGCTGATTTTGGATGGGGGGGAGGAGGGGGGGTGGGCACGCATACTCTTTCCTGCAATCGGAATAGTCTTTACGAAGCAGTAAATTTTGCGGTAAAATGAGTAAAGACGACACAGTGACGCTCTGGCATGTAATCGTGTACAGTGTTGCTAGGTTAAAAAAAAATAGCACTGAGAAATGTATTTTTTCCTGTTGCAAATTGCATTTTTTTCCTGTTGTACTGGGAGGATGTGAGCAGTGAGGCTGCGGGGAGCCGGTAGCAGGGTTCAGGCGCTGTAGGACTTCCGCTGGACAGGATGACGTGCTGATGCCTGATTGGCCTGAGTAATCAGGCCAATGGCGTGGGGGTCCTGCAATTGTGAAATCTCATACTTTGTATCAATAATCTTAAGGGTAAGCAGTTTAGGTTTAGGGATTTATTAATGGTGAGTAACCATTATTTATTATAATTAGGCTGTAGGTCAGAGACTGCGCTAACACTTTCTATGAATGCCATGTCTATAACAATCTATGAACACATTCATAACACATTATAATGCATTCATAAAGCATTGTAAACATGGCTAAAATTATTGATAAAAAGCCATGTTTATTATGCATTATGAATGCTCTATGAAGTTCTCATCTATTATAGACACATTCATAATGCAGTACAAAGTATCCTTAGTCCTTATACCGACCACTGTAATGCATTATCAGGGTATCTATAGTGCATTATAGAGGAGAGCTTCAATTTATGAAGTATTATAATCTACACTATAATGCCTTATGACTGTCAATAGAAGATGCTGTAATGCTTTATTAATTCTTATACCGAGCATTACAATGCATTAATAAGGTATCTATAGTGCATTATAGATATCAGCTTTAAGTAAAGTGTTACCAAAATGGCTTCTTGGCCCAGATCAAAGATGAGGGTCATTGTAACCTTATCAGTTGTTCTATAGTTGTTGCCTTAGACCTCGTTTATAGTTTGATGAGTCATGGTTTTGACTAAATGCAGTCTCTCCGTATGAGACAGAGACCTGTGAAACCTCATTGTACAAGTCAACAAGTTCCTTCGCTTCTGTAAACATATATCTTGTACGTGCAGATCCTAACCAGGTGGCCTGCAGGGGCCTGTATCAGGAATCACAGATTTTTAGGTTAGCAAGGTAGTGTGTCGGATTTAAGGTGGTCTGGGTTAAATGTAAGTGAATGAAGATAAAGTCAATTTAAAGTGGGCTACCTTAAATCTGACGGGTTATCTACAGTAGCTAACCAACAAATCTTGTTTTGTGATAAAGACCCACAGTGATCATGCAAGCTTCCTGTTTTCTGAATGGTTAAAGCATCATGTTTTTTAATGTGATTGGTTGAGCGTATTATATCACATGATGTGCATGATGTATCAAGAACGTACAAGGGTGGCCTTTTGGGGTGGGGGGCACAGTAGAGTTTGCCTGGCATTGTTCGGTGTCTCTTCTCTTTGTTTTTTGGTAAACTGTCCTGTCCTGTCCAGTGTTTCCCAGCCCGCTGCTCGGGGACTCGCAGACAGTCCATGTTTTTGCTCCCTGCCAGATAATCCACATTTTTGCTCCCTATTGGGAGCTGAGAGGGAGCAAAATCAGGGACTGTCTGGGGGCCCCCGGGGACCAGATTGAGAAACACTGACTTAGACTGTTGGCAACTAACGTGTGAGTCCTTGACGGGGTTTGCCGCCAGGGAGAGGGACCCGTGAGGCCTCCGTCCCGCCTTCTGTCTTCCTGTCTCTCAGCTGACAGTCCTCACCCAGAGCAGCTTATACACAGCTTAAAGTTCTCCTGTTTATCCACTTACTTGGCTAAATAAACCCCATGTAGGCTAAGTACCTGGCCCAAGGGGACCACGGCAAAGGCTGCCAGGCAAATCCACAACTGTTACAAGTGATTTCTACCCCCGCAGCAGATTTTTTTGATTAGTGTAACAAAAACCCAGTAAAAGAGGATCGGCGGTTAGAAGACTTATGGGTGGATTTTACGTTCAGTGCACACCTTAGAGGAAAATTAATTTGACTTTTTACCCTAACCCAGCAATAAACAAGGTAGCTCTGCAATCCCCAAGTGGGATGTAGGCACATGATTGAGGAAAACGGGGGGGGGGGGGGGGGGGGGGGGGGGGCGGGGGGGGGGGGGGGGGGGGGGCAATCTGTGAATCCCTTGCAGTGGCAGTGCTTGTCTAAGCAGTTATGATCGGCGTCTCTCTGAGAGCCACTGTCAGCTGGTGTCATCACGTGCCACTTGGGGTAGCTTCATCTCCAGGCTCACGGCAAGCCTGTCAGATCACCAGGGGTCACTGAATGCCACTGGAAGGCGAGGAATGCTGCAGCGGGGGTGTAATTCACCTTAGAGACAGCAGGGCGGCGCTCCAGCTCCACCCCAGTTCGACATTTTGGCTGCGTTTTGTGGCAGAAAAACTTCAAGGTGCCGTTGATGATTAAATGCGGGTGACGTGTTGAGTCGGAAAGCGCCGGTGAGTCCTGACAGGTGGGAAGAAATGCAAAAAGCCATGACCTCAAAAGGGGGAAAAAAACAGATATATCATGAAGACCTTTACGTTTTTACCTGCTTGAGTTATAGACTGTGAAAGTTTTCTCGCAGCTTTTAGTCACAATAAAGCTGTCAGGAAGCCATTTCGTGCTCGCATTACCACCCGCTAGCCCTCTGGCGTGTTACATAAACCAGTGCGCAAAGGTTGGAATAGTTCAGTTTACTGGCACTCAGAATGACTCCTCTCTGCAGTGTTAGTCTGTGTCTTGAAGGAGTGTTCCGGCCTCTGAGTGCGCAAATCAATACGCCGTTTGCCGGATCTATAATGATACAAATGAAGCTCATCTCTGAAGCTAGCTGTATCGATCCAGACAGATGGATAAATGGACCGAGCTGACCCCATGTGTTTCGTATTGCTGTTGTTTAGGGGACACAGCAGATGAACTGAGGGTCTCTGGCAGAAGTAAGATTACATTTTATGTGATTCATTCACTCAAGATAAGATAAAACTTTATTCATGCTGAAGGGGAAAGTGTTCGGCAGACGTGCAATTGTGAGACAGCAGGGTCAGCCAGTTCCTGGAGCAGTTGGGGACTTTGTGAAATCACCGATCATGGGATTTAAACCAACAACCTACCGATCACAGGGACACTGTCCTATCCCGCTGAGCTAGAATGTGGCCACGTCGATCAACCGCTCTCCTCCTGGAAAACGGAGAGTTCTGTAAATGTTTGCCTTGGGAAATGCTACGACCTACCGGACGGCAAATTCGGCAAGGCTTTTTGAGGGGTGCTGAGTGCCGGCGTGTGTCATTCACTGGACTGAGCTGCTGGACTGAGCTAGAACAAACGGCCGGGCTGCTGCATGCGCATGTAGCGTCGGATCTGCCTTTAAAATAAGCAGATAATCGGAAAAAAGAGCAATGCTCATGAGGACAATTTCACATTAATATCAATTTGCTTTAGTACATCTGGGGAATACAAATTATCAAGGGCAGTTAGATAAAATACTGGTTATTAAGGTGATCTCTCGATTGTAGTCACGCTCCGTCTATTTCAGTGATACTTTAAATGTCCGCAATAATATGCGATGAAATTGTGAAATCGGATAAATAAACTGCTGCTATAGTATTGTGTTGGATTCAGTCCTTTGGCATTGAACACATCCTTTTATCTAGTAAATTTACATTTATATTTTATTTACTTTTGTTAGTCCAAGTAACAGGTAAAAAAATAATAATAAAACATCCATCACTGGATGGGGGGCCCTAACAGGGTGTCAGTTGGGGAAATATTCCTTCTTTTCATGCTGCCCGTATGTCAATTTTATTTTTATTTATTTCTGTTTAGTTCCAGAGGGTAACGTAACGTATTCAGCACTCACAAGTTTGTGCAACTCGAGGCTTTCTCTGTGTGGTGGGGTCGAGGGGGGAGGGGGGGGGGCGCGCTATCAGTGTGTTACAACTTTCTGACAGCAATTATTTTGGCAGGTCTCATATCCAAGGAACTTCACAGCATTTAGCTCTGAGGGAAGATGAAATCTCCATTCTCACGCAAGTCCTCTAAAGGTTTCTCTCACTGCCTTTGAAGAAGCCTTCGCATTACTGTGTTTCATTAAATGTGAGCCGCTATTCCAAGCAGATACAGCCAGGAATGGTTCCCTGCGCCGCGCTTAAAAGCACATTGTTAAGCTCTCTGCAGCATCTGGGCAAAAAAAGTGTAACCCACTGATTTCCAGCCACCAAAGGGAGACTAGGTAGATAAATATGGAGATACTTTGGGATTTTAAAATATTAAGAATTCTTTCATAATAAGTAACCAAAAGCAAAGCAATAGAGATGTGAAAACAAGGACTTGATTTGAAAATACTTGTAAAACACATCATGTAAGGTTATAGGATCAGGAACCCAGCTGTAATTAGTTTTTGTCCTAATTCCTGATTACTGATGTGAAAAAAATCTGTTTCTTGGCTATTTTAATTAAAAAGTTCGGACTGTAAGTCATCATGCTTCACTAAATCTGCAGAAATTAGAACAATAATTCTTATAATTGATATTATTACTGCCATTTATATATTCTACACATGAACCATTTTGTTTAATACCTAACACAATACCCAACAAATGCAGACTTTTAATTAGATCACGGTTAAACACTGCTTTTGAAGTGTTCTATGCTGAGAAATAAAAGCTGGCTGCTTAGAGCGCCATTTAATTGTACGGAAAAATAAATATCCGTTAGCCGAAAGTCGTTAGTGTGTCCGTCAGAGTTAATTAACAAAGGCCCCGGGCATGATTTGCACATTGGTTGATGTTTTTATTGTTGTATTCGAATTATTTTTTTATTTTTTATTTTTTTGGAGGGGGGGGGGGGTTTAATGTTCAAGAGCTATCTGATAGCCCTGGGCAGAACTAGCTTCTCCACTCATAGTTAAACCGTTTCATTAAGTCTTATAAGCTAGCTGGTGGGTAGACCCCCGAATCTAAGCAGCTCAGTCCTAATTCGGCAGAAATGGACGATATACAAGGTTTTCATATGTCGGGAATGATGCCTGTTGTGAATCTTCATGTTCGATAGTATAATTTCCATCTCATATTCCATAAGCCCAGGGTGCCAAGCATCTCGTTCCATTTTTACGCTCCTAATAAGCCTCGCTGTTGTCCGACTTCAGGACTTAATAGATTATTAATTTAATGGATTGAAGCGCTCATCAGACATCCTGGTTTTGTGCATATGTATACACGTAGGTCTCTTATAAGAACTTAATGAACAATTATCTGGCACAAAACATTTGATTCACTTTGCAAACGCAAAGTCCTGCATCAGATTCCCAGCGCCAGATCTGGTGACAGATTGGAGTGAAATTCAGTTTTTAGGGAATCATTCTGGAACCTATAGCCCCGGCTGAAGAGCCAGGAGCATGAACCCACATAGAGAATAGCTATGCTTAATGCTTTGATGTACCAAATGAAGGGTAAGCAAACCATTTCCAATGTACTGCCATTATCAAATTGCTTGAGTCTGTAGTTTTGTGGCTGGGTCGACCTTTTTGCAAACACCTCTCTTAGTATGGGAGTTTTAATCAACTGATTGTCAGCCCATGGTATCACAACATATTGCAGCAAAGGCAAGCAAAGCAGTGGATGTTACAGGTGAACGTATTCCTGAGTAGCCTTAGTGGGCACAAAGGAGGGGATGCAGCACAGACCATATGGTACATATTTAAACAGACATTTCATTTTCCAGCAGAACAGCTTCCAGCCCCTGTGCTCTTACACACATTCTAAAATCTTTTCAAAGTTCTAAAGTTATATACCTTTCTATAACACAACACACCATACGAATTCAATACAAATAAAAATTCCCATTGAGTTCCCATGAGTCAAGTTACGGGATAACTTGAGCTCAGCTCTCTTCAGCTAGCTGTGAAATAAGTGTGATGAATTTTTGCGGCAACTTTACCAAATGAAATGAAATTGTATCTTGCGTTACATATACAGATGTAACGTTTCTCTTAAAAATGATTGGCATGACAATCCTGTGAACTGCCAGTAAATGCAAAATACTTAAAATAAAAAAAATGAAATACTCATAATAAACCCTTTTCAGTTACTATGTAGCTTTTGTAATTGTTTTCGACAATAGCTGTAATAAAACCAAAATCGCCAGCTGCAATAGTGGCTGTATATTTCCACGTGGACAGGCCGTAAAACAGGTCTATGGTACTCATACCATAAAGCACCAAATGTGAAGACAAGCACAGAATTTATTTATCCGTGCCCGGTGCGTAGTAGCGGCTGTCCCCTGTGAGACACATTAATCCTGGCGTGAAAGGGCCACTTGGAGTGAACTGGAGGTAAATCATGAGTCGCCAGTGGGCTTTGCTCATGCGTTAAGCCATATGATTATCATATAAGGCAGCTTGAAAGGTTCGTCCCCATCTACGACACCAGGTTAGTCTGTTAGCTTTCAGGTTGTCTCATTGCCCGAGTAACAATAAGCAGCTGTTTTTTCCAGGGGGTGTTTAAACTGGGAATACAACACCGGCTACTTGTCAGTTTGACAGACAAAATATTGGGCCAAGATTATAACACCCCCCACCCCCCACATCAACATTTTATCATCGTGTATATAAAAACAAAACAAACTGTCGACGTTTGTCAGACATGTTTGTTATCCGCTGCCATATTTACATATTGCCACATATTATCCATTTTAAAAAAAAAAAACTAATTTATCGACACAGTCAGGAAGATATGTGAGGTTGTGTCTCCTGAATCCCATCCTTCAGGACATTTATATCTGACTGGTGATGACCATTGACTGGCGTGTCAAACCTCAGTACCTTTAAAGTGGAAATGTGGTGAGCAGTGACAATAATGCTGTTTTGTTCAGATATCCTGGACACACATCTGTATGTTCATTACTCACATACGTTCGATGACATTGATTAATGGCCGACTTTGTGCGACCAGGTGTTAGTGTAGGCCCATATATGGATAAAAACAGATTATTGGATGGAACTGAATCTCAGGTGTTCTTGAATATGAGTTTTTTTCGCAATAATATTTCTCGTTTTCTTCTGTTTCAGTGGCGAACATTCTATGGCGCGAAGAAGGTACACACTGTCATTATTTGATAATTATATTATGGGATGCCCCAGTGTTCATATTATTTTTAGTGTACTGCAAACCAGCATTAATTGTAAATTATAGATGAGAGGTTGGCATCATAAAATGGTACCAGGCCATAATTTTTCTTTTTCATCCGTTGATGATAAAACCAAGATTCTGACTGGGAGTTTTTTTCCGTCTGTCCTGCAGGTCTGGGAATTGCCAATATGTTCTATGTGTTTTACGAGGATGGGATTAAAGTCATTCAGCCGGTGGCGTGTGAAATCCAGAGACACATAAAACCCAGTGAGAAGCTGCTGGGTTTGCAGGTAACGTAATGTGCTCCTTGTTGAAAACGGACGCAGATAAATAAGATTACTGCAGCTAGCTATCTCGTCCCAATAGCGCGCTACTGTTAATCATCTGTGGTCCGGGAAAACTCTCATATCCTAGGTAGATGTTTGTGATATGAAGAGGAGAGTGTTGTTATTGTCATTAGTTTTTTGATATTGCTCGCATCCCATAATGAACGTAATGAGTTTGGAGATCACAGCCGACTTAAATGTTTGGGATTGCTCTGCTTCCTAAAGGGTTCCTCTGGAATCTAATTTCCATCATCTGCACACATTTGAAACTCAACTGGATTCATCTGAGGGAACACCTCAATTACATTTAATACAGCAGTATTGAAGTTACCCATTTTCTCTCCTTTATTTTGTGAATACGTTTAGCAGGCATCTTGCAAAACAGGGGAAGGGTCAGAAAACAAGGTGTGCTTCAATGAGGGCCACCAAGAGATGGTAGGACTCGAGAGATTTCAAATGGTGTTAGGAGAACACGTGATGTAGGTATTCCTGAAACCATCCATTTTGATTGCCATGACATACCGGGTATATGGCACCAGACTTTGCAAATGTATGCTTACTCAGTGAAAGAGAAAATGATAGCACAAAATATTCATGTAAATGGGGCGAAACATAAGAGCTGTCTTACAATGTTCTATGCCCTGTCGAATTATTTGAGTGAAGCCACAAACGTAGCAAGGCGAGGTTATTCCATGCAAACCACAGGCCTGCCTTATAATTTCGTAAAGCTAAGTAGGATTAGCCTCTGTGAAATATAGACTCGGCAAAGTACACCTCCAATGGTAACCCAGATTTCTAAAGGGATGGAGACGATTCCTTTCAGATGCTAGAGTTCGGAGCATTTTATGCTTTATTGATGTGAAGTGACTTAAGAAGCTGTGGGGTTTTGGAGATAGTGTCTGACGGAATTCACTCCAAATTTTATAGTCGTGAGCACAGTGACCTGGTGCATAATCAATCTCTTTTAGCTACTTAAGTGAGCTGTATACATGAGGGTAAGTGCTGGATTTTCTGCAAAGTGTGTGCAATTATGAAGGCTGGACATATTTTGGGGTTCAGCTAGAGTGATTTAGCTACCATGGATGCAATTCTGATGACAGAGTACTTGAAATCAAATTAAATATAAACAAAATAAAAAATCAATTTAAACGTTAACAAAATCTTAAACGTAACAAGTGTAGATTTCCTACCTGTGTGTATGTAGCAAATAGAATTTTTTTCCTGCGTGGATTTTTTTCCTTATTTAGACTCCTCTACTACAACCCTACCAGAGAATATATTAGCGATCAACAATGCTTATCCATTATCGCCATGGCTGTTTAATGACAGACGCTGGTCACAGCTTTTCAGGAAGGATTGTTTTGCCGGGGAAGGTGTGAGGGCTTTTCAGGAATCCCCCTGTGTGTTGCCACTGAGATTGGTTCCATCTGGCTGTGCTGGCAAGGCAACACAGGACCTTGAATGTGACCGCTCCGCTGGGAAGCTACTATGTAGGTCAGCTGACCCGTCTTACTGAAGATGAGACTCAACGGTGCCTTCTTGTGGCATCTCTAGGGATACAGCTCGTGCTAAGATGGTGTTCTTTTTCTCGACCGGTGCGATCTCATATTCATGCCTCGATCCCTATGTGAGGACCATTTACACATATTTGTTACATTTATGTTTGAGTTATTTCCCTCCATAAAATATGCAGCGTGTGCACCAAATCTTCCTTGTTAATTTCCTGTGTTATGTTCAGGAGGAGGTTTGCCCGAAGTCAGAAAGTTTCGCAGGACAGAAATGCATCTGGACGTCAGCGGTGAATGTCAAGGACAAGTATATTTATGCCACTCAGCCAACCTTGAACAGAGTCCTTATTGTAGACATTCAATCACAAAAGGCCGTTCAGGTAAGCTTTCTTTATCTATAAAGGAGTCGTTTTTCATGCCACACTGTAAACTTGTTAATAAATCTAGCTGAACGTGGTGAATACCAAATATTCCTTTGATGATCAGCATTGTGTAGGAAGTCAGGGTCTTCTGTTTAAAACTATTTCTGTGTTGAGTTGCTATTGTTGAGCGGCAACACGGTATTCATTGATCTTTCGGATAATTCCCAGTAGTCAGCTCACAGCTAGAGTGCTTTATTCTCATTGAATTCATCACCGAAAATAATTTGTCTCATCGTTACACAGATTCCCACGGTAACTGAGGTTAAATTAAACTTCCATCGCATGTGGATTGCAATTCTTTGCGTTACCATGAGCGCGGTCATATTTCAACACCTGTGTGTACACATTAAATTCAACATTCATGCATGAGCCACCTTGTAAACTATATTTCCACTAGCCGTACCTGACAGGTGACCCAGTGGAATATGCAAAATGGCTCAAAGATATCATCCTGGCAACCGTCTGATGTGCAACGTCAACATTAACGTGCAAATTCACTGCGCTGTCTCTGGCCGTGAGGAGCAGGTGCATCGGATAGATTTAACCATGGGGTGCCATGGCTTTGTGGGGTGTGTGAGAAAGGTTGCTTTTCCGACGTAATTAGGCTTTGGTGTATTTTGATGCTTCTGGGGATGCAAGTTGTCCCTGAGGCCTCAGGCCTGTCGTCAGGCTGGGGCCCTAGTGTTCAACAGGTCCTCCCTAAGCCGCGCTGGGGCTTTCCCATGAGTCACCAGCCTCATGCCTCTGTTAGCGCGATGTTCATTAGTCAGTCACCTGAAGACTGGCTTCCGTACCATTATTCCATTGGCCATAATTAGCCCCCTGGTAGCCCTCGAAATGCAGCGAGAAAAGGGGGGCGGGGATTGAGGATGTGTTTTTATTGCCATTTATTTTCTGAAATGTTTCTTTTCGAGGAATGAAAAAAAAATCTGAACTAATGAGCAAACACCATCTCTATACTGGATTAGCAGGATTCACCGTATTAGCATTTTGTCGGTATTATGTTGTGGGATATCTTAAGCACGCTAATTAGATGTGGGTTTAAAGTCTAAATCAAGAGAAAATTGTTGCAGCTTGTTTCGGAAGCCATAATCAAAGTAGCTAGAGCCTAAATTAATTGCCTGCTTTGATTAAAGTGCTTGTTGCAGCCTTTAGCGTTTAAGTGCCAATACTGCAGCTTACTTCATAATCAGTCATTGCAGCGAGGTTAATCAACAAGCTTAATCATATTAAAGCTCTGTGCTTTGTCACCTTTTTGAATATATACATATGTGACTACAAACACAGACTCCTCCTAAAAGTCAGAGTTAAAGGCAAAATATTTGCAGGTATTCAGAAATAAATATGATAATATATGCAGGCACAAAAATGACCAGATATGCCAGAAATATAAATAATGTATAAAAAGTAATTTTTAAATAACCAAAGCATTTAATTTCCATCTGAGAATTATGCGATATGCATTTGCATGTCAGAAGTGATTTGGAATACATGGTTTCCATATGTCAATCCGACCAGATACGCTCTGTGTTCAAAAACGATTCCGTATTTTAAACATGCAGTGCGTCTCATTCGTTTTGTCAAGGTCAATGCATTTTTAAACAAGCTCATTTAATTTTTAATATGCAGCTTAATCGAGGTCGAGTAATCATATAAGCAGATGGTTCCGTATTTTTAACAAACCGGACGGCTGGGATGCGGCATCACTGCAAACGCTGCTCCGGTCGATTATGAATAAATAACGGATGAGGGGTCTGTTTCGCCTGGCACTGCAGACAGTGAGCACCGATCCAGTCCCAGTGAAACTGCACTACGACAAATCCCACGACCAGGTCTGGGTTCTTAGCTGGGGAGACATGGAGAAGACAGCACCTACTCTACAGGTACTCACAACGCCTCTCCGTCGCTGTACTCCTAGTAAGACTCCGCCTGACTCAAAGCATCATGGGATTTTACACTGGCAGTATACATTTACAGTTATTTCGCTAACACTTTTAACCAAAGCAACCTAGTTGGGGTTAAGGGCCCAGCAATAAAATGATGTACAGGCAGTCTGCAGGTTACAAACTAGATTCCTTCCCTAAGTCTGTCTCTAAGTTGAATTTGTAAGTAAGTCCGAATAATTATAATTCACTACATATTAACAATAATAACTATACAGTAATAAAAAAAAATAACTAAAGCCATGCAATTTTTCACGAGTGTCATAAATTAGTATGTGTGTTCGTTATTACGAACTGTTATATTTGACCCAGTTTATTATATGATAGGCTTTATGGCAGTGCATTCCTAAGTACGAATTGTCTGTAAGTCAGATGTTCTTAACCTGGGGACTGTCTGTATTTCTTTGTATGTATTTGTTTAACAGATACTTTTATCCAAAATGGCGTACAGTCAAGAAAGCAGTGTCAGCCTTTCGCTGAAGTAATTGGGGGTTAAGGTGAAATCACTCAGCCGGACATGAAATTTGAACCCTGTTTCTACTAGTTTTTACCAACAGATGGCGCTGTGCTGGGTCCATCCTGCTAACGTGCAATACGAGAGTGCTGCCACTAGAGGCAGCAACGGGCTGTGTGGCCACATGTTCTAGCCGGCTTAATGAGCAGAGTGGCGCAGAAGGTCTCCATTCGAAACGCCTTTCCCTCTCTGCCCAGGTGATCAATCAGGCCAGCGGGAGTGTATCCCACCATACCATCCACACACAGCCCGTCGGCAGGCGCTTTGACAAGGTGGATGATTTTTTCATCCCGATGACCACCCTCATCATCAATCATGTCAGGTAAGGGAGGTAGGGGGCGCCGGTGAGCCTGGCCGTCCCATGACCCAGCCCGTACTTCCACTAACACCCGCTGTCCTGCCAACCAACCAAAGTAGGCTCCATTTGTCATGGCTGACGCCGCTATAAAAGTGCAGTATATTCATTTTGTACGGCGATTTGACACTGCTGCAGTTGTATTTAACATCTGACGCAGTGTGTCGTTAGCTTGGCTAGGGGGCGCCCCCAGGACAAGAGCCAACGGGTTCTTTTTTGATGCTATAAATAAGGAAGCCGATGAGTAGCTTCGCCTAATGATTGATGCTAACGCCCTGTTTGTGTACTCCTAGTAACTCTCCGAATAACTCAAAGCATTGTGGTATTTTTTTTTTTACCAGGGCTAGAGGGTGGTGGTAAAATTTGCCAACCAGGTGGGGGCGCAGTTACGCAAAAGTTACTTTCCCTAGTAGCTAATTACTTTAATAGAATTCCTTTTTTAAATGAAGTAACTAGTAATTCTAACTACTAATTTTCAGTTACTTGCACAGCACTGTTTGAGGGTGTCAGGGAGCTGTTATCAGTTTGTGGGAACTTCCGGAAGAGGGGGAAGTTTGTTTTTCAGTGTTGAGTCCAAGAAAAAAATACTAACACAACTCCTGTGTGCTAAGGAGGTTGGCTAGTTACCTGACAATGCAGGGTGATGCAGGATAATCCATGTGGCGGCACGAGGTGACTAGAAATGTCTGAAAGATCGACCTGGTGGGCCTTAGGGTTCGAGCTAGGGCTAGGGTTGGGGGGTTAGAGTTGCCTTACATGTCCCTTGTCCTGCTGTGCACCTCCTGTGACACTCGTTGTCCCCCCAGCCACTGAAAACAGGATCCATCTGTCACCACTGACACCTTCATAAAAATTCACTACATCCATTTTGTGCACAGATTTGAACTGCGGGGGCTGTATTTAACATCTGATGCACAGCGTTGTTAGCCTTGGCTAGAGGCCGCCATCAGGACAACAGACAACAAGGTCCTTCTTAATGCTATCTATCTCCAAAAATCACCAAAGCCCCACCAATAAACCACACTATCCTTACCTGTCCCCTTCATCATCATCGTCCACTCGCTGTCCCCGTCATTTAGTGCCCTCTGCAGTGAGAGTCATAGTTCAGATGCTTTTCCACATCAGGACTCGGGCTGCAGCCCTTCGTCGGAAGAAGCGTAATTCACACTCGTAAACCCAGAGGAGCAGACCTGCGTCCGACCATAGTGCTGAGAGGGACTTAGATGGCAGAAGTGCTGTCAGTCATATTACAGTGTACAGAGTGGGAGTCGCTTAGCTATCTTTACTAAACAAATAAAATTATTTTAACTGATATATTAAGATATACAGTGGTACCTCAGAACTCGAATTTAATCCGTTCAGAACTCCAGATCGAATCCTAAAAAGTTCGAGTTGTGATCAAATTTTCCCCATAAGAAATAATGGAAAACCAATTAATTGGTTCCCAGCCCCAAAAATTACACCGAAATATGTTTTTTTTAGCATGTTGAAATATATGTGTGATTTAGCAATAAATATGTTTAATTTAGCAAAATTAACTGGATAAAACAAGAAGAGCATATACTGTACTAAACACGTCTAAGCACATTTATCAAAACAGTAATTGGTAAAGTAAGAAAATAAATGTATCCAAAGAATATGTCCTGCCCCGATCGTCCACTCCTTCCGTGTGCCACGCCCCCTCGTTAACCCCATGTGGAATCCCTGTGTGATCAGCTGTTTCTGGTATATTGTCTAAATACATGTATTCAGCTAGTGTAAACATGCACGGTGCTATCACAGCTAATGCGAGGCTGAGACTGAAGCGTTACCCTTTGTTTCCGCTGAGAGACGTGCTGCGTGACTCATTTCCCCGCGCGTACAAGTTATCTTAGGTCGGCATTCACGGTTTAACATCTGTGATTCAGATCGAGCTCTAGGTCATTTTTTTCCAAACTGGTTGGTTCGACTTTTAAGAAATTCAAGTTCTAATGAGTTCGAGAACTGAGGTACCGCTGTATATTAATTAGAGTACAATTTGCTTATCCAGATAACGTTTATTTGAGATTCAATTTTATATTTATTTGAGATTCGGTTTTGTTTCAAAAGCTGATAATGTTAAAAATGTTTTAAATTCGTAAACGCATCAAACCAGATAGGAAAATAGTGTTTAAGGGCATCTAAATAGACATAAAATGTCATATATTGTGTTTTCCTGTATGCCCTGCTATGAGTTGTATGACCTGTAGTTCATACTAGTATTTGGACTGGAGGTCTGGGTCACTACTGTTGCAGGTGGGTGATTGGAAGATTCTGGAACATAGTCCTGGGCCTGTCCTCCTTGGATTCGACAGGGCAATTTGATAGAGTTTCGATAGCAATGGCGAGTGAGCCTCAGGAACCTACTGAATCCAGTAGAGGGGGAGGTTCATTGATTTTTTTTTTTATATGGGGAATTTTCTGAGGTTTCCTCATAGCAGATCGAGCGCAGGAGGAGAGCAGAGGGCCGGGGGCTCAGTGTCCAGTCAGCCGGCTGTTAGTGCAGTCCACCCCCCCCCCCCCCCCCGAAACCTTGGCTGTACACTCAGCCTCACACACCTGGCACCTAGTATTCGTTTGTTTATGTTGGCATGGATTATCTCTAAGCTTATCATTCATTCCGTGATTTCTTTGCCAGTATATTTATTATACAAAGTTCAAGTAATAAGAACATAAGAAATTCACAAACGAGAGGGGGCCATTCGGCCCATCAAGCTCGTTTGGGGAGAACTTAACTAATAGCTCAGAGTTGTTAAAATCTTATCTAGCTCTGATTTAAAGGAACCCAGGGTTTTAGCTTGCGCTACACTAGCAGGGAGACTATTCCATACTCTAACTACACACTGTGTAAAGAAGTGCTTCCTCAAATTTGTTTTAAAATGTTCTCCCGCTAATTTCCACTTATGGCCACAAGTTCTATTATTTCAACTAATATTGAAATAGCCATTTGGCTGAACAGCACGATGTTGCATTTCTAGTAAATAAAAACTCAGTAGATCACTTGAGTTAGACGGCCTGCATAAGATAATAAAGTAACTAAGCAGAGAAGAAACATTTAAAGACAAGGATAATTAATCGTAGATTTAGCTATACAGTCAGACCTCGGACATTCGCGAGGTTAGGTTCCAGAACCCATCGTGAATGAGGAGGATTCGCAGATATTTGATAGAGTCACTAAAAATGGTAATATGTGCTTATTTCTATAGTTTAAACCAGGGGCGCCCAATCTTATCCGCAAAGGGCCGGTGTGTATGCAGGTTTTTGGGATAACCTGTAGGTCAGCTGTTCAAACCCAGGTGTGAGGACTCTTCAGCCAATCAGTCCTCTAATTAGGAAGTTGCAGCGAAAACCCGCACACACAGCGGCCCTTTGTGGATAAGATTGGGCGCCCCTGGTTTAAACCCTAAATATGACCCCAGTCATGCTCCCAAAACACTTTAATTTCATTTAAAAGTTAGCTTAATACATCACCTTTAAAAAAGACAAATGTTTGATGTAAAAATAGAGTTCAGTATCGCCTAATGGATGTCACACTCGCACATTTACAGTACAGTATATAATGTTACCCCTACTAATTCATAGAACACGGCTTTGGCTGCCGTTTTCTTTTGCATTCACAGTAAGGTAAAATGAGTAAACAAATGGGACTGTAAACTTATTGACAGAAGTCATATATGTAACCAAGGTACGATTCGATAAAATACGTAAAGGAAACATGTCATTTTCGCAAATCTGTGAATTTGCAAATCACAAGCGCGAATGCACGAGGGCTGACTGTATTACTTCACATTAGATGTTCCTTGACATTGCTGTACATTATGTTTGAAATCACAATGCTTTAAAAATGCCTCATTTATTAATGAGCTGTCTCACTTGATTGCAACATATAGATAGAAAAGAACACTAACTTGGTGTATGAGGATGTCAGCATATCCTTAATCATTTTTGCTGGACTGGCCGTTTTTAGGTCAGTAATAAGTTACAGAGTAACCGGTTTCACGATGATAAATAGCTAGCTTTCATTTCATTACTGTCACGGCCCGTAGAGTCATCTTCATTGCATTTCATTACCTTTCCAAGCTGACATAAAACATTGCTCATCAGTTTTAGCAGTTTGGTGATTTTGACTTGAGGTAATAGTGATGTAGAAAATACAGGGGACCCATCAATCTTCTAAGTGTTTATTCTAGTCAGGGACACCAAGGGGCCTGGAGCCAAAACCAGACAGTGAAGTGGGAAGATCACGCAAACTTCACATAGACAGAGCGAAGGCGGGCTTCAGAATGCCCGCTGTGGAGGCACAAAGCGACAATGCTGCCCACTGATCTACCGTGGCGCCCCTGTTAAAGATGCAGACATCATTGATTTTGACAGTTTTTTCAGGAAATATGTTCATTATTGGGCAGCCATACTCTCCCAGAGTCTGCCCCTACAATGCGAACTGTCATCAGTGATCTCGTATTGGCCCATACACAGTAAACAAACATCTGACGCCTGGAAACAAACGGTAAAAATCCCAGGCGAAAATGAGCACACGAATCACGATTAATGAGGGGCGGGCTGCTGGGACGGGGGCATCTGGCCAATCACTTTCTTTCGTTGAAATGTGTTGGTAGGTTTGGATTCATCCTTCACAAGAATGAAGCAGCGCTTCACAAGATCGACCTGGAGACGATGTCCACTGTGAAGAAGGTTTCCCTGAAGGAACACGGCTGCGTTCCCAAGGCCCTTGCCTACACGCACCTGGGGGGCTACTACTTCGTGAACTGCAGACATGCTGTGACGGGGGCAGCCAGGCCACAGCTTATTCTGGATGGGATCACCGATTCCGTTATCGGCTACAACCGAGACATCAGCGGCACTCCCTATGTCTCTCCGGACGGGCACTACCTGGTCAGTGTCGACGACGAGGGAGGCCTCATGAGGATCCAGTCCATCACGGTCAGGGGAGAGATCCAGGAACCCTTCGACATCCACACCAACCTACACATCTCTGACGTGGCATTCCAGCCGTCCTTCACCGAGGTCCACCAATACCACGTGTTCGCCAGCTCAAGGCTACAGACCGACGTGCTGTACGTGGAGCTGGCCAGTGGGCAGGTCAAGATGATCAAAAGCCTAAAGGAACCAATGAGAGCTTCGGAGTGGCTCTGGAACAGGAAGAACCGGGTGATCGTGGACAGCGGCCTGTTTGGACAATACTTAATGACTCCTTCACGGGAGTCTCTCTTCATATTGGACGGCAGATTGAATAAACTTAACTGTGAAATTACCGATGTCCCCAAGGGTAACACAATCATATGGGTAGGGGAGGCATAGAAATTCCATTCTACTTATTAAAATTATGGATTTAACCAGCCTTGTAATGTTTAAACTTAAGACCTACACAAAAGCTGTATTGAACTCTGGGTATTCTACTAAATCGAGATTTTTATCCGCGGCAACAATTCAAAAAGCATACATATTTATAATAAGAAATTCCAATATTGTGAGGACATATTGCAATAGTCATGTTGAAAGAAAACCTGTTAACGATAGTAATTACGATGGAAAATGATTAAATTAAATAGAATACGATGCTATGTCTAAATATTTCTTTACTTTCCGCAGACCTAAAAGGAAATCACAGTAAGAGAACTGATCACTGTGCTCTATTGCTTTTTGTGCCTTGGAGGAATATACCTTCAAGATGAAGAGCAAATGAAACTATTATCTACATTTGTAAGAACGGCAGTCCTAAGATCATCTTTCAGGTGTGAGAGGTCCAATCAAATTTGCTGGTACTGAGGCAGTACGATCATGACTAGAAAATTATTTCCCAGACCGAGTTCAATGATCAAAATAATGCCATTTCCTTTGAAGATCACTTTGAGGCATGTGATCTAATCAGGAATGTCGATTATAGCTTTCAGACAGTTACAATTTTGCAGCTACTTAGAAATTTTAAACTAAGTATAAAAGAAAATCAGAAAATTAGTCCGCTAATAAAAAAATAAGGCCACTACAAAAAAAAAAAAAAACATTAAATGAATCATTTTCACATGTTGTGTGAAGATACAATTTATAACTATTATTTAAAATTTGTGTCGGGAAAATTCTATTAACATGGTGAATTAAGGCAAGACTGATGTATCTAAAATGTAAGATTAAAAAATGACTTGTTTGATAGAAAGTAAACTCTGTTTAAAGGAACATTTCATCCATTTGTAAGGTGACTATGCTGTGCTTTATCAAGGAGCCCAAGGTTTGTCGTGAAGCTTTATTCTTAAGTGAAACTTAACAAAACGTTGGACATCGGCAGATCAGGGTGGAGGGGCTTTCATTTCAGTCTTTAAAAAAAATCTAAGCACAGTACCTTTTCTGTTTGTGCTTCATATTCAAACCCTTTTCCTGGGTAGATGTATTCTATGCATTTTCATTGTTTTATCCTTACTGAATGGTTTTTATTTTTATGATTACTTTTTTTTTCTTTTCTTCGAAGGCACGATTCCAGTTTTATGCCATTTTATTTTAGGTTAATATTATATACTGAGGCTTTAAAACTGAGGTAATCATCGAAAACTGTTACACTTTTCTAACCTTTTGTTTAAACTACACAGAGCTGCTCAGATCTCACAGCTTTCTAATCGCTATCCTGTGATAAAATTTTTTCTAGTTATGTTCTGTACATAGACACTAAGTGGTCCTTTGACTATCCCGCTCGTTAGTTTTCATAAATGTATCTTAGTGTTTCTAATTTATAGGAACTAAATTAGTTTCCTCTGTAAAGATCGAAAACCAGATTTTCCACCGTGACGCAGACGAAACAGTTTCAGGCGCACATGGGTGAGTGAAACCGCATCTCTCGAATTGTGACGTCACCTATTATAGCATTGTCTGTTTTACATTTAGTCATGAGTGCTTATTCATGTGGTTGCTATTTATGTAGAAAATTGCTTGAAATTGGGGGAAAAAAACAATAAAACATTACTTTTAAAACATTTCTGATGTTAACTTTATTTGTCAACTAGTGCTGATAGACTATGTAGGCCGCAGTATGTGGACACCAGCTTGTCCCGCATCTTCTTCTGAACCAAGGGTATTAAACTGAGTAAATACCTTTCTTGACAGGAAAATTACCAGTATTCTCTCGGAATGTACGAACCCATTTATAAAAAATAATAATAAAGAATAAACCCTGCTGTTTCCGCCAGCTAAATAGCTAGCAGAGAAGGCACCGTTGCCAGGGTGATGTTACAGGAAGCTTCTCCCTCATCATCCGATCCTGTGATGCCGTGGGTCACAATCTGGGTGAGATGTGTGAAATAATACAGTCGGCTGATGAGAGCTCACGTTCGGCCAAGCCCGGCCTCGATTGGTGGGCGGAGCATGCGGCCCTTGTCAGGGCATGATGAGTGCGCCAGTCCTGCTGAATGCTGATCACTGGATGGGAATGTGGGTGCCAGGCATTACCGCTTACAAAATCCGGCCCCGCTGCCGTGGAATTCCTGACTTCATCAAATCAAGGATCCGAGTCACATGAAAAACACAGTTCCACTACTATGATTTAGTAGATTACTTCTGCAGTCTAATGCATAGGCTATCCTGAGCTATAGCCTAGGGCCTTGGCAATTTTACTGGTAGCACTGTCCCTCCCTATTCGGCAAATGTTCCTGGCAGCACTCTCCATCCATATGCGGGACACTCATGGGACTTTTACCTACACACAAATGTTCCGAGGGCAGAATAAATAAATGATTGGTTCAGAGAGATAACCAATCAGATTGTAGGGCAACTAAAAGAGGTGGGACCAAGACATCTGATTGGTTGGTCCCGCCTCCTCTAGTTGTTTGGCCCCACCTCCTCTACAATCTGACTGGTTATCTCTCCAAACCAATCATTTTTCACATCAGAACATTTTTGTGCAAGTAAAACTCCCATGAGCATTCAGCACATTTAACCCACCAGGACACCCCCTTGAACGCCTGAAGTTCTACCACCTGCACCCCCGCATGCTGATTAGCAGATTCTCTCTCGTTTCTCCTTGTAGCCTAAGGCCGCCCGGGGAACTAAATCTGCCTCTAGTCATTCAGAAGACCCCCCCCCCAAGCACATGTACATAGCTTAAAGACCAACACTGATATCCTTCTGTCGTGTCACTCAGCCAAAGTACCTACGCTCCATCAGGGAACCGCGAGTTACCCATTAACTGCTGCAGCACCTGTTGCTCTCCATTAAACAGCAGATTAGGCTGAAGGAGCCCAGAATATTTTAATTAAAAAACAGCTATATGGAGGGAAATTACGTATTGACATTGACGCAGGGATTTAAACGCATTAAAAACACGAAAACAGTCCGAAGTGATATCATTAAAAATGATATATTACATATATATATAATACAATTGTTCTATAAGCATTAAATACTGTCGCTGCTATAAAATTATCAAAATAAAAAGCACGCTAGCTGACTGCTTGCTGTGCTTTTCCGTTGCCTGTTATATAAAGCCCCGCGTCAAGCCAACGGAATGCGTATCAGCATCGTCCTGCGAATGCCGTCAAAACAGGACTGTTTACAGTGCAGCTACCTGCTCAGAATGCATTAATATCTGTCAGGACGAGTCTTTTATAAGACAAAAGTGTAACAGGGATGGGATGCTTACATAAATGAAAAATATATAACTAGTTTATAACCTTAAATGTTCGATAAAAGTGTTCTTAGCCTGTTAGACAAACTTAACTGAGAGAAAGTGTTACTTATTGCTACATTAACTGGTATTAATGTTTAGGCCTATATAATCCTACATGAGAGGTATTGCAATTGTCAACTCGATAAGTTGAATGGAAAATTGGACAGAAATGAAAAAAACGTTACGATAAAATTCTGTTTCGCTTAATTTCACTATGAATTAATTGCTGCTTTTCAGAATTGCGTCTTTTAGCGAGAGCTGTAATTTCAGTTGGCTGATTATGTTTCATGGCGATTATTAGGATTTCATTAAGACGTTTTTTTTTTTTAAATATCAAACGGACCCTGAAAAGTGTTTTTTGCACACGATCCATGCAGTGAGGCAATTCTGATATCCATTCTTTTCCCAGAAGTCCCACTTGTTTAGAATTGCAAAGCATTCTCACTGGCTTTAGTTTTGACATAATCCCTCATCTCGTATAGTCTTGAGTATATTTCCATGCAATTTCTCTATTTTCAGAACAAAATCCTGACACTTGAGGCACCAAGGGAAAATTTTTCAAAATTAACAGGATTCAGTCACAGGGTAAATAATATAGCATGTTGATGCACAACACACAAGACATCACAGGGGAACAAAGTTTTTAAAACAGTTTCCTAAGCAATCTCTTCTGCCGCAACTCCCCGCAATACGCCGCAGTCACATCCTCGCAACTCGCCGCAATAAGAGAGTCATCTGTCTCCTCACAGTGACTCACATGCTGAGTTCAGGTCTTTTAGTTTGGAAATAGTTCAAGTTACACTCTCAGGTTACATACCCAACTTCTACAGTACTGTGCAAAAGTCTCCGGCAGCCAAAGAAAATGCTATTTCAATGGTCATGTTGGTGTTAAGCTATGATATTATGTCTGTCAAAATATGTCAGCTTTGCCATTTCAACACTTCTCCTGAAGTCACCCCAGCATTTGCAGCAACCATCCAGTACACCCATGTATTCTAGCACACCTCATATGACTAATGGACAGGGGACTGTAAAGGGGAGGAAAGTTATGACAGTCCCTAAGAAATATTGGAGCATAATTGGATTAGTCTGGGTTGGGGGCGCAAAATCTCAAGCATCGCCTCTGCTAATCAATTCCTCATAGACTTTTAAAAAAAAAAACTAATTTAACTAATGAATTAAGTGAGCTGGTGGTGAAATTTAACTAATACATGGAGTTACTGGGTGCCCTTAAGAAAAATTTCTTGTCGATTTGCACATGTTCTAATGCTAAATTGCATATTTTTTTTCCCCCCTCTGAGCAAATATACTCAGATAAATATTTTGAGACATTTTCTGTGACTGCTTAAGACTTTTGCCCAGTACTGTACGTGTAATTTTTAAAAAGAGAATGATCACACAAATGGGGGAAACCACCCGGCCCCACAGCTCGTACGTGAAAAATAAGAATTATAATGTTCCATTGTAATGAGTAGACAGGGAGAGGATCCTGGTGTGTAGTCCACAAGCAGGAAAAGGGTCAAAAGCCAGGAAGAGGCGAATGAAGGCAAACAAATGTTTTCATTCTTCCATCCGCGCCTTTCCTCCATCTGTTTATTCAGTGCGCAAGGCAGGGGAGAGGATTACATATAGATTATATAGGATTATCATATATGTGCACGTCACCACCTGCAGAACGTTTTGCTCAACCAGCCAGCCTGGAAGGACTCAACAGGTCTGGAACACGCAGCAAAATTACCCACCACTGCGGACACTGTGAAAGCAATGTGGAGTTAGAACACCTAAGTCTGTACCTCCGTCTGTACCTCCGAAGGACGGGTAACTATATGTGCTTGAAAGTGACTGCAAAATGAATCCTCTCTCATATTTTAGTTTGTTGGTTACTTGGTTGCTCCTTTTGTTGTCTTTATGTCTCCTCCGACCGAAATGAAGTCCTGTGTCTTTAACACTTTACCAGCCGCACCAGCCGATCTCCTATATAGACAGGAGGTCTTCCCCATCATAAAAGGCTTGGATTTCAGTACATTAGGAGCCTTGTGTGGTCAGTGTCTGGTTTAAATGACATTCTCCTATTCTCTGAACCAGACTTATCAAACTCGGAATGTAGCACGATGACACTCACAGGAGAATCCAACAGGATGCAACGACCTTGAGGTTAATAAGTTTAAAACTTCCGTGTCTGTCTTTAAGTCAGGTGTACAATGTAGCATGTTCTATTTTCCATTCCACTGGTCCTATACCCACTTTATGCTGTAGGCCTACAGTTTATACATGGTTCTGATTTGCCTGGGTAGTAGTTCCTTTGCCACTTAATTATTCAGTGTTAATAAAATTGTTCAAAACGGCAGCTGCGAATGAAAGTATGGCTGACTTTGTTGTAATAACTGTATCACTATTACGGTGGACTACATCACACAGAGAACTGATGTAATCTCAAAACGGTCCATCATGAATAAAACGGTCACTTACGTTCGGCAGCAAAGCCAGGCTCTGGCTCATCACAGGCACCTTCCGGTTTTTTCCGTAGGCTTGTCTTTGGGTAACGTAATGTAATGATTCAGACTTTTGAAGGTTCCCAGCATGGGCCCTGCTGTAATGCCCTTAGGATGCTGACCAATTATTAGCACACGGATTATTAAATTAGCATATTAGCAATTAGCATCGTACCATTAGCGTTAAAATATTTACGCTAAAATTCTCCGGCAAAAAAAATAAATTCTCAGCAGTAGCAGCTCTGGGGAAAAAAAACAACCGAATAATGTTTATATTTATATGTTAATCCTTTATGAGGCACTCTAACTCTAGAGTGGTAGGAATGTAATGGATACAATGTCGGCATCGGCGCAGTGGTATTGAGAGCATTCACAGCTAACGCTCAGGGTGAAGTGTGAGAACAATCGAGTGGATGCATCAATGAAGACTAAGTAGATATAAAAAGGCTTTAATTATCCGATAGTTTCCTCTGGCTGTCAAACAACAGTTCCCAGAAAAGCAAAAACGACTCAAACCGGACAAACAAAGCCATCATTCCAGGTGTGCGGTGGCAATTCAGAATCGGTAAAACTGGGGAAAATGTCGAGAAGAACTGGTAAGCATTTCTGTGATGTTCTGTATCGGTTATGACGGCACAGTAACCATATGGCTAATTTAAGCATCATCTCTGGAAGGCTTCAGAATCCCTCCGTTCGTCCGCATCTTTTATTGCTCACCCGTTTGTTTAATTTCTTTAACAGCGTCAGGTTTTGTGAGATTTTCGCTTCCCTTTCCTTTCCCAGGCAGATGGAGAGCTCCTGGTGTTATTAGCTGCCTGTG